CTACTGATTAGAATTAATTAATTAACTTAATTAATTCAATAAAGTCTTGGATTTAACCATCCGGTCAAACCTACGTCAACAGAATATCCAGTCCAAGTCAAACAGGACCTAACCCAAGTCAAAGTCAAACCTGTTCAGTCAATCCATAATCCTCAACAATACAATTCAAGTAATCAATTTAATTCGATTAACCAATTTAGCCAAATTATAGCATAAACATATATAACGATCCAAACCATTAAATCTATTCTAAACGCTATTAACTTCATAGTACGGACCTGGATTACGCCGAAATCGAATCGATAGCTCGAACAGAAGACAAATCGACGAAATCAAATGAACGGGTCAAATTGAGTCAAAATACGAAATCGACCAATCAATCCGGCGTGGAGGTTAATCTGCCGGCGATATCAATCCGTGGCAGCGGCTGGATGCGGCGACGGTGACGGACGCCGGCGACAGTGGTGGAGCGGTAGCTCGACGGCGATGATGGCGGACGCCGGTAGGGGAGGCGACGTCCAGCGCTCGGCGTGGCGGCGCTGCACTCGACGGTGAGGATGGCCGCTGTGCTAAGGGCGACGGCGGCTGGAGGCTTGGCGACGGTGCAACTCGGCGGCGCTGGGCAGCGACTGGCGGCGCTGCAACTCGACGGCGGCGGACGACCAACGAAGGAAGCAGCGGCGATTGGCGGCGCTGGACCTTGCAGCGGGCGACGGAGCTGCGGCGATTGGCTGGGGAAGGGCGACCGGCGATGAGCGGCGTCTGGCTCGGGCGACGCCGGCGTGGTCGAACGGGGATGACCGGCGGCTGGCTCACGGCGGCGATTGAAGATGAAGAAGGAGAAGAAGAAGAAGAAGAAGGAGAAGAAGGAGAAGGAGATAACGATCGTGCGGTTGATAATAGGTTTAGGTTTATTTATTAATTCCAATACTAGTGGTTTGGGCTCCGGGCCCAAAATACCTGATTAAATGGTCATAACATGAGCTCCATAACTCCGATTCGCGAGCCGTCTAAACCGACGTGATCACAAAAATATTTCCTACGAGATGACATAAAAGTTGGGCTTAGAATCCAAATTATAATTTTAACCCCTTTTTGGGCCCAATTCGTAATCAATTGCTCTAACAATTTAATTAATTCTTTTGGGCCAGAT